TCGACATCTGCGCTCATCAAAGTGAGCGAGTTGGCAGGGTCGGTCTCCCCGAGGCCCAGACAGCTGGCTTTCTTGTATAGCATTGTGACCAGAACCCCACGAACCATGGTAATCCCGCGGTAGGTCAGATGTTGATATTGGCCCATTGAAACGGCCAGTCCACCGTAAACAAAGACATAGGCGCCAATAAGTCCGTACCCAATGTTTTGGGTACCCTGGTTGACGGGGGAATTGAAGAACGAGAGAGATCTCTCCAGAAGCAAAGGCTGGCAAAAGTTGAATGCCACAACGCAAGCTCTGGCAGGGACACCTGCCAGCAGAGGCCACTTGACAGCTTTCATTGACTCCCATTGGAGCGTGTTAGGTGATTTCGTTGTCACTGAATAAATATTAGCAAACAGACAACAGAAAATCCGCATATAGCCGAGCACAGATAATTACCTTTGCTCCATTTCTGGTCAAACCGAGCCAGTAGACGCTCAGAGCTTAGTTCTTTATCTAATGTAAAGAGGTCTTCTACACGGAGGACGCCGGTGAAGCCGATCTTGAACAGTGGGTTCAGCCACCAGAACACAGCCCGGTTGTAGAAACCCGCAGTCGCTTCTGGGGGATAACCCGCATATTCCGATTTGAGAATTTGTCTCTTCTCCACAGCCTCGAGCACAAACAGAACCAATTTGACACCCACTGCTGCGGTAGCAACAATGGCAAGGATATCATTGAAGGCGTCGACACTGCGAAGCCATAGCGTTCTGGAATGAGCAGCATCAAAAAGCAAGCTGCAGAAGAGGTAGGAGTTCAAAATGAAGGAGGGTCGCACAGAGCGCGTGTGCTCTGCATATGAGAGCAGAACGAGAGCGAGTACGCCAACCGTGAGGATCACATTGGCTGGAACTGATGCCTTGGTCCTGTCGGCTGCCGGAATTGCCCATAAGGCTGTTTGTGCAATTTGAAGACCCAGTAGTGCCAACCAAGCTGCCTGTTTAGAGAATAATGATTAGACAGTATTTCAAAATGCAATTCCAAAGATGAGGGTGGCACGGGGGGTTGCATGCGAACTGCACAAAGCAAAGCAGAGCAACACTATCGACTTACAATCTTGGTGAGGACCAACCACGATCCCACAACTTTGGTTCGTCTTTGTGAGAGATGCCACAGACGAATAGGAATAATGATTAACATTAACAGAATAGGTAAAATCTGGAGGATAGTCTCCTCGAACAAAAGAGAAAAGTCGAATCCTCCCCGACATGATCCAACATCAACACGTAGAGTATTATCAAGATCGCGGCACAAAGGCCCTGGATAGCGAGAGGATGTCATGTCTAAGCTTGAACCACCTGGCAGAGGATGGTTGAAGAGAAGATAGACGGCAGAACGAGCGACACGGGGTATTAGAATTCAAAAGAGTGTATGGTTTAGAACGTGCATGACTTGGGGAACTCGCCGCTTTTTGGTCTAGATCAGACAGATCATAAAGTGACATAACAACACTCAGCCTTAGTGTAGTAGATCATAACAAAAAGGTACATAGGGCTAAATCAGATCTGTATCCCTCTAGGAGTTCACTACATCTAGGGAGAACAACGACCCCGAACTCACACCTAACTATCATGTTACTGGTGGGCTGCATCAAAGTGGACATGAATACAACACTTGATGCAACCATCTTACAAAGTTATTACTAGCAATGCCCTGTGAGTTCATCTAGACTCGGACTAGGTGAGTATGGATCCATTCAGCTGCATTTATTTTGGTTTATTTTGGTTTGTTTTCTTTTTTTTCGTTTTCGTTTTCGTTTTGTTTTCTTTTTGTTTTTGAAGTATAAGACCTCGGGAGATTGGTCTCTAATTTCACTCCACATGAGTCATCTATATTGGTCTTGATTCAGGCAAATTGCGGATAGCTTTATTTCCATGCCCCCTTGAGGATGTGGGGGATACAATTGGCCGTAGATCTTTTTACCGGAAGCAAGGACATCCTGAGTAAACCCCGAGCAACACGAGGTAGTTGTGTTACCTTGCAGAAATAAAATCATTAGAGTGCAATGACCTCCAATGAATTGCAATAGCGAATGGTCGGGGTTAAGTCTCCCGTGTGGAATTAGGGCAACGAGAAATAGCTTTGCGTTCATGTGAGGGTGAAAAGCCTCGATCTGTACGATGGCAGATCTGCCGCTTTGGGTTTGTAACAATCTTTGTTATTATTTAATTTAATTTAATCTACTTTGTTATTTTCACTTTCCAGTAAACCCACAATATATATATATATATTTATGTATATCAAACTCTACTTGACCGTACAAGCCCAAGCCAGACGGTGAAGAATGGATCTTGTCCATTCGGAGAAAACTATACGTAGTGAGATATAGATTCCAACCGGTTTTTGCGAATTCTCGTCACAATCATAATCCTGCAAAATCAAGAAATCAAGCGCCTCCTAATGGCGTTTTTTTGCTTCTGTTAACTCGGTAGTGGCGGTAGGGATTCGATTCGTCCGGGCCAATCGTTCTTTTTTACCCAAACTGCAGTAGTTTGACATGGCCCACATTGAATCACTCCGGAGTTTCGGCCGTCATCGGTATTCCTGATTTCAACTGAGCCCGACTAGCCTGGAATGTGCATCTTTCAAGACATGGTAGTTCGCGTGGCGGGCACTCGACCAATGTGCATGAGTCGGGATCTGTGCCTACTGTGCCTGACGAGCAAGCTGTTCCCGAGATACCGAACTGATCAGGGGGTCAGAATTTGACTTTCCCCTCGTCTTGTCAGCGAGATTGATGGGTGGCGAATCCTGGGCATGATACTCTCCACCGATGTACATCAGTGCTCACATGTGCAGTGGATTCCAAATAATGCTGCGGCGTAGAGCATTTCTATGTTTGTACTCTCTATATCTCGGTACCTATTTTGAGAGCTATTTTCCCACTTTAACTTTAGGGCTCCAAGCGAGACATAAAGTGATGTATCCGGTGACAATGAGATTAACCTGTCAAATGTCTCTATTGTTGAGTTCGTCACGCCGAACGGGAGCTAGGGCTAGCCCGTTATAAGTGCCAACTAGTCCGTTCGGGATTTCCCTCCGTGTGGATCTGCCGGAAAATCCCATATCCCCATTGGTACAGTCTATGTCTTGGCTTTGCCTTTCGACTAGTGTGAATAGCGTGCACAAATGTACGTTCTAAATCATTAGGTTTATACGCGAGCGAAAAGGAAAAGAAAAAGAAAGGAAACCGTGAAGGAAAAAAGCAATAATATTCTAATGCAAAGCACAATACACCACATGAGTCCATGTTTTTGACGCAACTGGATACGGTGTATATACAGGCCGATCGGAGGAATTGGGACATCTCCCCTTTTCCATTATTCGAGACCCATATTTTTATCCATCGGTTACCGAACGGATGAAATATAAATACACGCCAAGTCGACAGGTCGCGGGATTCGGTTAGGCCCGGATCCCTTGATGACCCTTGCAGTAGGGATCGCTAGTGGCTTGCTTTTGTCCTACACATCAAGTTCGCATTACATTATGTGATGTACTTTGTAGAAGATTTCTATAAAATAGGTCAACTTGTATTCTGTGGGATAAGATTCAATAGTCTGACTTTAAACTGAGTATTCCTCCGATACTAGTATATATCCTTGTATATTCGGATAGGATATATCCGAAGTATGAAAGCAATGACCGCAGCTTAGGTGTCGCCCCCCTAACAATCAATATTTTTCTTTCTTGGTATACCAAATCTCGAAAGTCATCCAAGAGATGGTGTTAGAACACTCAAATTAGCTTTCTCGATCACGATCACTATAAATGATCGACACCGCCACTGACACCCTCACTGCGGTAGTGCCTGAACTGCGCGGTAAATCGTGGTTCAACATGTTTTATTTTGTCACACCTTACTGCAGACCCCAGTTTTCGGATATCCGTGCCACGCGCTCCCATCACCAGAGCTCCCAGAGAGGAGGTGAGAGGCGAACTTGGAGCAAGTATTCCGGGGTCGGTGCCATGTGTGCATCAGTCGGTGTACATCGTAAAAGGTAAACGCCTCACGAGGTTCGCATATCTGCGGTGATGCTGATGCACGAGGAAAGCAAGAGCCTATACCCGCAATAGGAAGCGAGGGTAGACGGCATATCCCAATTTGGGATATGTACCTGTTCTCCAGGTTGCCCTAAGCGAACTTGAAATGGATAGCGAAAAGCCAGTAATGTCAGCATTGGGATTTTGTACGCTCGAGAAAAAGAACAGTAAACAATAACGCCATCCAATTTCAACACTCGCGGCTAAAAAGGCTCACTCCCCCGACGCCTTGCTCACTGCTATACCCACGTTCTAGACTGCAAGGGATCGTGATCGGGGGAGGTGCAGCCTTCTCGCTTGGAAGAATCCGCCAGATGGAGTACACAGACCGAGTAGAGAGCTTTCCCCTGCATCACTACCTTTTGGTGTTAGTTCAAGTGGATTCGACCTTTTCCAAGGGTTACATTGGCTCTTGTAGTTGAAAATAGATATAGAAATCCTTTCGGAAATAAAATAAAAAAGGAATGAAAAAGTGTCTGACTTGGTTCCACAGGGGGGCCAAGTACACACCTGATCCACGTATTGTCTCCCTCCCTCCTTTTCATCTAGACTCTATGCAAGGAATATAGGCGATTCGCTAGTGATCTAAGCCATTGGTGCATTATTACTGGATGCTCCTGGAGAGCGTGGCCATGCAGTCTTCGGCGGCCGGAGATGGCGAGTTTCGCGGTCTTAAGGAAATAATACTTTTTTTTAGAAATTAGAAAAAGACAAAGTTTGACTTGTACTTAGCTCTTTAAAATAACCAAGCCCATCCCAGTTCGCGGGCGCTCAAGTCGAGTCACTGTTGAATTAATACTGTCGTTGATCCTTTATACCTCAGGCCCTCACACACACACACCTTCCATCGACCGGAAAACACGAAACGAATCCCAAATAGAAGACAGCAAGGAAACTTTCGGCCATTAGACGCCATGGCTCAATCCACGCAATGCTACCTTCCTCGGTTCGCTTCGACGGTTGACGGGCCAAAACGCCCAGTCTCGATGAAGACGAGACCAACGGTTGCTCAACATGCGCAGTTATTAACCGCATGGAACGAACATCGTCTGGATCCAATCCTACGAGCCGCCTGGGCTCTCTTGTTGCATTACTATATCCGGTCTGAGGATATATGCTTCGGTTACCAACATCTCGAGGGAGACTCTCGCTCCCTCAAATCATCTGTACACTGTTCTACGGGCGTCAACATCTCGACGATCCACATATCCATCAACGACAATGACACCACCTCAGCAATTGTAGATAAGATGCGCGCAAACAATGCGATTCCCCATGGAAGCTCGGAGGCTGTTTCCGAGGCATATCTTCCTTTCAACACCATCTTCATGCTGCGCACATACGACCCTCCTGCTTCTCCTTCAAAACCCATTCTTGCCACAGCCCTTCCAGACGAGGTTAGTTTACTACAGCATAAAGTGGCGATGTAATTCCCATTAGACGAGAGTGGAGTTAGCTAACAACACGCGCAGTGTCAAGTCCGCCTCCATATCAAGGTGCTGCGTGGAGACATCAGCATCTTCCTTGAATGGCACAAGGGTCACATGTCTGGGGAGCAGATGAAGAGTATCGCAAACATTTTTGAGCAGTTGCTTGCCAAAGTCCTTTCCGCTGAGAACACCGCTATTAGCCAGCTTAATTTGTTCTCCGAGAACGACTGGCAACGCATCCGCAAGTGGAACTCCAGTACCCCACGACTTTACGACCGCTGCATTCACGACGCCATCCATGATCAAATGTTGAGCGGACCTGATCGTGAGGCTGTGTGTGCGTGGGATGGAAGTTTGACGTACGCCGAGTTGGACCACCAAGCGTCGAAGCTTGCATGCTATCTTCGCATGCAGGGAGTCGGACCGGAAGTCCGCGTGGCTTTGTGTTTTGATAAATCGGTGAGTTGAGGATCCACCAAACCATTTAAATGAGAATTAAGTACTGACTTTACAGAAATGGAACATCGTTGCAATGCTTGGCGTGATGAAAGCCGGCGGTGCTTTTGTCCCATTGGACCCGACTCACCCAACTTCCCGACTACAAGCTCTCATCCAATCGGTTCAGGCACCGGTTGTGTTGTGCTCCCAGCATCTTGCCGACAAACTTCCGATCGTGAAGACTTTAATACCTCTTTGCTCTGATACACTAGATCCTCTGTCGGAACCCGCCGACAATGTCAATCTTGCATCGGGTGTCACAAGTCAAAATGCGGCTTATGTTCTGTTTACCTCTGGATCAACAGGTGAACCCAAGGTTAGTCATTTCTGGATATTAAATTATATATTCCTGCTGTAATATCTGGTATGAGCTGACTCGTGTTTCGCAGGGAACCCTGTTGGAGCACCGCGCGTTCCTATCCGGGGCTATGGTGCATGGCCCCGGTCTGCGTATCTTCCGCAACTCGCGATGTCTTCAATTTGCCGCCCACACATTCGATGCCAGCTTGGCCGAAACGTTGACGCCACTCATTCATGGCGCATGTGTGTGTATTCCTAGCGAGGAAGCTCGCCTTAACGATATCGTGAGCACGATCAACGAGATGCGAGTCAATCAAGCCTGCTTCACCCCATCATTCATCGGCTTTATTGAAATTGACAGCGTGCCAGGACTGGAGAGTTTAGTTCTGGCCGGGGAGGCAATGTCGCAATCGCAGCTGGCTACCTGGTCCAGAATCAAACTGGTCAATGGGTACGGACCGACCGAGGCCAGTGTCGCATCCGTCCTCAACTCCAATGTCACACCTGAAACAGATTGTAAAGATATCGGCCTGCCCATTGGTGTGAGGACTTGGCTTGTGAACCCTGATAACCACGATGAGTTAGTTCCCGTGGGCTGCCCCGGGGAATTACTTTTGGAAGGTCCACCCCTGGCCCGGTGCTACGTGAATAATCCACAAAAGACAAACGAATCGTTCATCTACGACCCTGCCTGGACTACCTTGGACCCTGAAAGTCGGTCTAACCGTAGATTCTACAAGACAGGTGATCTCGTCAGGTACAACTCCGATACGGGTGCCATGAATTACATTGGTCGGAAAGATACGCAGGTCAAGGTTCACGGACAACGAATTGAGCTCGGGGAGATTGAGAATCAGCTCAGCAAAGATTTGAACGTCACTCATTGTTCTGTTCTCTTCCCCAAGACTGGATTCTCTAAGGGACGCCTGACCGCAGTTCTCGCTTCCACCGGATTGCTTGCTGAACAATCTGATTCGGACTTGCGGCCTCTACGACTTGTCTCTGCCTCGAAAAAGGTTGAGCTTGTCCCCAGCATCCGAGAGCGCCTGTCAGCTTGCCTCCCCACTTATATGGTCCCCGCGGTTTGGCTGTGTGTTGAAGCCCTTCCACTTTTGCCATCGGGGAAACTAGACCGCAAGGGAATTTCCACTTGGGTCGCAGGTATGGAGAGTGATCCAGATCTTCAGACCAACACCTCTGTCGCAATCCTCGGCACAGAGGCATCTAAGCCCACCAATGACAGAGAGGAAGCTTTAGCTGCTGTATATAGCCGTGTCCTCAACATTCCCCCGAATCAGCTCAACTTGAATGAGAGCTTCCTCGCTCTCGGCGGTGATTCGATCGCAGCTATGACATGTATAGGCCTCTGCAAGAAACGAGGGTTTTCCCTCTCTGTACAAGAGCTGCTTCGCAGCAAATCAATCCGCGACCTCGCAACTCGCGCAAAGACAATTGACCACCTTACGACTTACGAAGAAGCTGTCGATGAACCATTTAGCCTATCACCCATCCAGATCCTTCACTTCGGTGTACGCAGGGAAGGTCAAGGCCATTTCAATCAAGGAATCCTCACCCGCTTGAACAAACCCGTCGATGAACGCACCCTTCGCAAAGCTGTCGAAACATTGGTATCCCGGCACTCCATGCTTCGTGCACGATTTACGGATACAGGATCCGCGACCGCATTGAGTCAACACATTACCCGCGATATAAAGGGATCTTACAGATGGCGGATGCACAATCTTGGCAGCATGGAAGAGGTCAAGATTCATGTGGCCGACAGCCAGTCTTCTATCAACTGCTTTTCTGGCCCGTTGCTTGCAGTGGATTATTTCTTGGTGAAGGGCCAGCCTAATGTCTTATCCATGACAGCTCACCACTTGGTTGTCGACATTGTCTCTTGGAGAATTATTCTGGAAGATTTGGAAGACATCGTCTTGAACCCCGAGAAGACAGAAACGAGTGATAACTCCTTGCCATTCCAGACCTGGTGTCGCCTGCAGAATGAGCACTGCAATGTCCTCCGTGCTGAGCAAAAGGTTGCAACCGATGCTCTCGCTGCACCAAATTTTGGTTACTGGGGCCTCAAGGACACTCAAACAACATACGGGGATGTGGATTGTGCCTCGTTTGAGATCGACTTAGCCCACACCAACGCCATTCTTCTGGAATGCCACAAACCTCTTGATACCGAGCCAATTGATCTTTTCCTGGCAGCAATGCTTCACTCATTTGGCCGAGCTTTCCCGGATCGTTCTCTTCCAACGATCTACAATGAGGGCCACGGGAGAGAGGTTTGGGACCCATCCATTGATATCTCGCATACTGTTGGCTGGTTCACAATTGTGCACCCGATCTTCGTTTCTGCATACAAGGCAGACAATCCCATTGATACACTGATCCAAGTGAAGGATCTTCGCCGTCGTGTCTCAGACAATGGTCGCGCAGATTTCGCCAGCCGCGTCCTACCCCTGCAGGGCAATGAAGAGTCTCAGCATCCCCACCCCTTTGAGATCTCGTTCAACTATGTTGGTCAGCATCGAGATTTGCAGAGGAAAGATGGTCTGTTCCAGCTTGTTGATCAGATGGCTGGAGAAGCGGGCCAAGGAGGCGGTGCCGCTGACTTTGGAGCTGAGACTCCCCGCTTCGGTCTATTCGAGATCTCTGCGATGGTCGTCGCTGGAAAAGTCCGATTCAACTTCTCATTTAACAAGTTTATGGAACACCAGAGTCGTATTCACCGGTGGGTTTCTGAATGCCACAGACTACTTGTGACTCTGGCTGAGCAGCTTCCTACCCTCGCACCCCGTTTGACTCTCATGTCATTCCCCATGCTGTCATTGACCTACCCTACCTTGGACAAGTTGCTAAATGAGAAGCTGCCTGCTATGGGCATCGAATCCCCAGATCTTGTCGAGGATATCTACCCTTGCTCTCGTATGCAGCAGGGTATCCTCCTTGGTCGCAAGCGAGATAGCTCATACTATGCTGTCCACGACACTTTTGAGATCAAGCCCACCGGATCTAGTGGCCCAAATCTCGACCGCCTAGTCAACGCATGGCAGCAGGTTGTTTCTCATCATGCGATGTTCCGGACAATATTCGTTGAGAATCTCACTCCTCGGGACCCGTTCTGCCAGGTCGTACTGAAGAGTTATGATGCTACTCCTGTCTTCTTGCGGTCTTCAGGGGAAGATGATTTGCTTTCAACATTTGACCGCGAAGACCCCAAGGATTACAGCCAGCCTGAACCAGCGTACCGTTTCACTATTTGCCAGACACCAACTGGCAGATTGTTTGCCCGGATTGAGCTCAGCCATGCTGCAATGGATGGGAACTCAATGTCAATCATCTTTCGTGACTTGGAGCTCGCATACGCTGGTAGACTCGAGGAAACCCCCCAGCCTCTGTTCAAAGATTATATGCAGTACCTTCAAGATGCGCCGAAGGAAGCCAGCATAAACTACTGGCGCTCTTACTTAGATCAAGCTAAGCCGTGCCATTTCCCCGCCCTCACCGATGGCCAACAACCGCCCAAGGCACTTCGGTCCATCCCTGTCAATTTCGGGGGACTCAGCGAACTCCAATATGTCTGTGAAAAGCGCGGAATCACGCTTGCAAATGTATTCAATGCTGCGTGGGGCCTCACTCTCCGCGCCTTCTGTGGATCTGACGATGTTTCCTTCAGCTACATGGCATCCCTGCGTGACGTGTATGCTGACGGCGTGCAATGGGTTATCGGGCCAGTCATCAACCTCCTAGTTTGTCGCATGAAGGTTTCTGATGATGCTAAGCTCAGTGATGTGCTTCATCAAATCCAGAACGACTATATGGAGAGTCTTCCTTACCGCCACACTTCGCTTATTGACATTCAACATGCTTTGAAGCTGTCCGACACCAATTTGTTCAATTCTGGTGTCTCCTATCGCCGACTCCCCAGCTCTAAGGATACAATCAGCAGCGATATCAAGTGCGTCGAGGTTGGATCAATCCACGATCCTGCTGAGTTCCCAGTCTTCATCAACATCGAGGCCATGGACACCACCGCTCGGATTGACCTCAACTACTGGACTACCACCCTGTCCGATTTCCAGGCTGCTAATGTGGCAAATACCTATCTTCGTTGCCTGGAGAACATCGTATCGAATATAGACGGTGAAATCCGCCAGTTAGACACCCTGAGCGAGGAAAACCGAGCCCAGATCATGTCGTGGAACAGCAAGACTCCCAAGCCCTTTCAGAAGTGCGCCCATTACGTTGTCCAAGAGATGGCCAATAAACGCCCTGATGCGTTGGCTGTCACTGCTTGGGATGGAAACTTGACGTACTCCAAGTTGGATCAATTCTCCTCTCGATTGGCAAGTTATCTTGTCACCTTCGGCGTCAGTCCTGGCACCCTTGTCCCCATCTGCTTCGAGAAGTCCGTGTGGAACATGGTCTCCATATTGGCAATCATGAAAGCTGGTGGTGGCTGTATCCCAGTTGACACACCTCAGAGCTTGGCCCTGGTTGAGAAGTGGGTTGTGGATAACGCTGTGCAAGTCGCTCTGGCTTCCCCGGAGAAGGCTCAAGTCCTCGAGGAGGCCGTCCCATATGTCATCCCCGTGAGCGAGTCCCTGCTCGAGTATCTTGCACAGGAGGTCCTTAGCCCCGTGGCAAAATCGTCCGACATTGCATACGTCGCTATGACCACAGGCACCTCCGGCCTTGCTAAGAGTGTCGTTCTTGATCATTCAACTGTCATGACCCGAGCCGAGTCATTCGCTACCACCATGGCGATTGCCGATGTCTCCAGGACTCTGCAGTTCGCAGCCCACACATCCGATGCATTCATCCTTGAGGCATTCGGCACTTTCATGTGGGGCGGTTGCGTCTGCATCCCGGCTGATATTGACCCTGTTACCCTGGCTACCTCCATCAATGCGCTCCATGTTAATCTTGCTAGCATCACTCCGACAGCCGCAAGCTTCTTCTCCCCAAACGATGTTCCGGGTTTACGATCCATTGCCCTGGGCGGCGAGGTCGCTTTACAGAGTGTTCTGGACCGCTGGCGGACCGACGATGTCCAACTGCAGGTTTTGTATGGAACATCTGAGAGCTCGGCTGCTTGCTTCCATGTGTTCTGTTCTCAGGACGAAAACGAGGCTACCCTCATCGGAAAGAGCACCTCTGCTGTTTCGTGGGTGGTTGACCCATCCAACCACAATTGTCTTGTTCCGATCGGTAGTGTTGGAGAATTGGTATTAGAGGGTCCTGTGCTTGCTCATGGCTACCTCGGTGACCAGTCCGTCGAGAGCTCCGAGTTCTTCAACAACGCTTCTTGGCTTGGTGAAAGGGGTGAACACCGCCTGTTCAAGACGGGAGATCTTGTTCGATACAATTCGGATGGCTCCCTGGTTTTCGTCGGCCGAAAGAACCATAAGAATGAATCAGCCTTGGCTAGCGAGCTTATTCGAACTCAGACACGCATCGATGCCTTCATGGCTCACAAGCAAAAGGGCGTTGTGCAGAGCGTCCATCTGGAATGTGATGATCTGAGCCCCAATGCCCTGGTTGCTTTTGTGGTTTCTTCGGACACCCCGGTCACTTTTGGTGACTGCGTCATCCACTCCGCGACACCTAAACTGAAAGACTCTATATCTATCCTGCACGCCAATTTGAGTACCAGTCTTCCTGGTAGTAAGGTTCCAAGTTTCTACATCCCCATTTCCTCCCTCCCCTTAACTGTCTCTGGAAAGCTTAACCGGCAGGCTCTTAAAATTGCAACACAAGCACTTTCGAGCAGTGCCCTCGAGGCTTTTGACATAAAGCGCTGGCACGGATCCAAGGCTGGTAACCGGACTTCCCGGCATCCCAGCCTCTCTGAGGCCAACATCGCTTTCTGGAAGGAGTATCTCGCTGATGTCGAACCCTGCGTTTTCCCAGCGCTCTCCCATGAGGCAGTCGACAACGGTCGCTCCACCCGCACACTCAGCAAGCAAACAGCCAACATCCATGCCTTCAGCAGGTTGTCTGGCATCCCTGCTGCAACTCTCTTCCAGTTCGCCTGGGCCGTTGTTCTCCGGTGGTATACTGGCTCAGATGATGTATGCTTTGGGTATTCCGCCTCAGCTTCGGAGACAACATCTGAAGCTGAAGGTGTTGCAGCCTGCCGTTTCCTTGTACAGAACGACCAAAAGTTGCAAGAGTGTCTACAAAAGGCAAAGGGAGACTCCGAGAAGAGAGCATTGAACGTCGCTCCCTTGGACGCCGTCAAGCACCAGCTGGGCCTAGATGATACAACCCTCTTCAACACCTCCTTGATTTATCGCATGGCTTCCAATCTTCCCAAAGAAAGTACTCGTGACCCATCCACCTCCAGTGCTTACAAGATTTTGATCGAAGCTGAAGTCTCGCATTCATATGCCGATATCCACTTCAACTACTCCTCAGAAGCCCTTTCCTCCTTCCAGGCCAGCCATGTTATGGACATGTTTGATCAAGTGTTGGATGATCTGATTGCTCGCAACCTCTATGATCGAACGGTCGCAGACATCAACGTGTTACATGATCGGTCAGTTCGCCAGATCCGCGATTGGAATGCCGCATCACCTCCTAGAGTAGAGCAGTGCGCCGACGAGCTCATTCAGCAGCAGGCCCTGCTTCATCCTCGTGCGGAAGCTATTTGTTCCTGGGACAAGAATTTTACTTACGGACAGCTTGAGATTGTCTCCAGTCGCTTGGCTCGCCATCTCTCCAGTATTGGAATCAGGCCTGAAGTGTTCGTCGTCCTGTGCTTCGAGAAGTCAGCTTGGGCTGTAGTTGCCCAGCTGGCGGTCATCAAGGCGGGTGGTGTTTTCGTCTCCATTGACCCAACCCATCCTGATTCTCGACTGCAGATGCTCATCGATGAAATTGGCACCAAACTTGTTTTGTGCTCATCTTCACTCCATACGAAAGTTTCGAAGCTGTGCGAGAAAGCTTTCGCTGTCTGCCAGACTTCGATCTCCCAACTTTCTGATTCGCCTTTGGCCCTGTCTGGCATTCGTCCTACCCCGAGCAATGCCGCATATGCTATTTTTACCTCTGGTACTACTGGAAAGCCAAAGGCGACGGTGGTTGAGCATATTGCCCTTAGCACCACCGCAATCGCTATGATCGATTCTCTGCACATGAACTCGACAACCCGAGCTTTGCAGTTCTCTAACTACACGTTTGACGTCAGCATCCTTGAGATTATGATGACTCTCATGACTGGCGGTTGTGTCTGTATCCCCAGCGAGGAGGAACGTATGAACAACCTGGGCGGTGCTATCCGGCGTATGGAGGCCAGCCTCATGGCAGCACCTCCTGCTATTGTCAATACCCTAGAGCCGAAGAACGTCCCCACCCTCAAGGTCATTATTACAGGCGGCGAGAAGATGCCCGCCAACCATATCGACCGTTGGTCAGACCGGTGCGTCATCAATGCGTATGGTCCCTCCGAGGCCACTGTCGTTGCGACAGTTGGTGTCAAGGTTGATTTGGATGGTAACCGCGTCAACAACGACCCAACCTCCATTGGAACAGCTTCAAATTGCAGAGTCTGGATCGTGGATCCGCATAACTCGCACCGCCTACTTCCCGTTGGCGCTGTGGGCGAATTGATCCTCGAAGGAAGCAACATTGCCCGTGAGTATCTTGCCAACGAGGAGAAGACCAAGGCCTCTTTCTTCCAAAACCCTGTTTGGAACCGCCACGCTGGATTGCAGGGCGTGTTCAAACGAAGTGATCGCATGTACCGCACTGGTGATCTTGTGCGCTACAACAGCGATGGCAGTCTGGCCTTCATCTCCCGCAAAGACACTCAGATCAAATTCAATGGCCAAAGAATTGAACTGGAGGAGATCGAACAGCAATGTCTCCGCTGTCTACCTGAGGATTCTCAGGTCGCTGTTGATGTCGTTGTTCCCGAGGAACGTACCATCGCCAAGGGTCTCGCCGCATTCTTCACTGTCCATGATCCAGATTCCAACGGGGGCAGCAGCGACCAATTCACTCCGACAATTCCTGGGGCCGACCCACTGCTATTGCCCATATCTGTGTTTAACATGGATGCCATTCAAAAGTTGAAGAGCTCTCTACCTGACCTCCTCCCTCAGAGCATGATGCCCCGACTCTTCTTCCCCATTCGCAACCTGCCGTTCACTTCCTCGGCGAAGATCGACCGCCGAAGACTGCGGGCTATGGTCCAAACCTTGTCCAAGGAAACGCTCAAGTCTTACATTACCTTCGACACCTCTGACAGAAGGGAGGCTTCTTCAGCCACCGGCCTCGAGGTCAAACTTGTGGCCCTTGTGGAGAAGACCCTCGGGTTAGAATCCGGCTCTGTGACGGCCGATGACAGCTTCTTCGGTCTAGGTGGTGATTCCTTGTCCGCCATGAACCTCGTTGGTGCTGCTCAAGCAGAAGGTATTGCACTTACGGTCTCGAGTATCTTTAGCTCCCCAATCTTGATTGACTTGGCTAAGAGCTGCGTCCTGTCTGATGGAGCTGCTGAATTCAAGGGACAGAATATTAAGGAGTTCTCCCTGGTACCCTCTAAAGTCGACCTTGAGAGCCTGATGGAGGAAGTCATAGACACTTGCGAAGTATCCCGCGACCTCATCAGCGATGTCTACCCATGCAGCGCTGTGCAGGAAGGTCTTCTGACGCTCTCTATCAAGCATAACGGTGCTTACGTTGCTCAGCCCTCGTTCCGCCTTGCAGCTGGCATTGATGTCGGTAAATTCAAACAGGCCTGGCAACAAACCGTTGCAGACTTGGAAATTCTTCGCACTCGCATTGTCCACACCGAAGCTATGAACTTTGCACAAGTTGTCCTGAAGGATGGCCCTATCTCCTGGATCGAAGCAGAGTCTTTCGATGCTCTGCCCTACGACATGATTCACCTTCCCAAGCAAAATGGCGCACCTCTAACTGGTTACGCCATGGTACAGCCCCGTGGCTCCTCTGATAGCTACTTTGTTTGGTCTGTTCATCACGCCCTTTATGACGGCTGGAGTATTCCTTTGGTCTTCCGCAAGGTCGAAGAGAACTACTTTGCTTCGCAGACTAGGGGCGCTGGCACCCCGTACAGCCTCTTCATTGACTACCTGGTCAAGAAGGATATGCAGGAGTCAGACGCTTTCTGGAGGTCTTATCTGGCAGACCTGTCGAGCACTCCTTTCCCTCATAACAAGAGTGCGGTCCCCGATGCCATGCGTGCTGGTAACACTCAGCACCACAGCATGAAAATTTCCCGCAGCCGCAACAGCGTCGACTTCACAATCCCTGTCCTCATGCGCGCCGCTTGGGCAATCGTTATTGCTACCCACACTGCATCTGGTGATGTCTGCTTCGGGGAAACTTTGTCGGGCAGAAATATCGATCTTCCTGGTGTTGCAGATATTGCTGGTCCTCTTTTAACCACTGTCCCAACCCGTGTTCAGGTTGACAATGACATGTCAACCATGGAATATTTGCAGAAGATCCACCAGTCGACTACCGAGATGATCCCGCACTTACACTCTGGTCTTCAGCGTATCCGGCAGCTGAACAAGGATACATCTACGGGCTGCGATTTCAAAAACCTGCTTGTGATCCAGCCAGGCGATGGCGAGCTCGACAACAAGGTCTGGATCGACGAAAAACGTCAAACAAGCGAAGACTTCTTCACTCACCCCCTTGTCGTCGAATGCGGTGTCACCAAGACGAGCATCTCATTCACTGTCCACCACGATGAGCTCATCATCAATGGATGGCAGACCAAGCGCATCACCGAACAATTTGCCCATGTTCTCCAGCAATTGATCAACATGCCTAAGAACAGTACGAGCAAGCTCGGAGATCTGGAAGTCATCAGCCCCGAGGACAAGGCTGAAATTGGTACATGGAACCAACGTACTCCCCTCACCTTGGAACGGACCGTTCAAGATTTCATTCGTGAGAAGTGTGATGAGACTCCCAATGCCCAGGCTGTGTGTGCATGGGATGGTGATCTCACGTACGGAGAATTCTGGAACCTCGCATCCGGATTCGCCAACTACTTGGTCTCTCGCGGAGTTGGCCCAGAAGTCTTTGTTCCAGTCTGCCTGGACAAGTCGGCTTGGGCAATGGTCACCCTCATCAGTATTCTCATCGCAGGTGGTGGCTATGTGCCTCTGGATCCTTCTCACCCTACCTCGCGACACGAGGAAATTCTCGCCGACGTTGGTGCGAACATGATATTATGCACTCCTAACTATACAAACCGCTACAGCCGGGTTGTGAAGACGGTCATCCCTATTAGCAAGGATACCATCAAGGCATATGGCTGTCTCAAGTCGAGTGTTCGTCCCCGAACTGAGGTCAAACCCTCCAATATGGCGTATGCTCTATTCACCTCCGGCAGCACTGGTCGAGCAAAGGGAATTATTGTTGAGCACCGCAACGTGGTCAGCAGTATCATGGCATTTGCGCCTTGGGTTCGCATGGATGCGACCTCAAGAGTATTCCAATTCGCCTCCCTCACTTTCGATGCTGCTGTTATGGAGACTCTTGCCATTCTCATGGTGGGAGGTACCATCTGTGTTCCTAGCGAGGATGACCGTCTCAACGATGTTGCCGGTGCAATCCGTCGACTGAATGTTACTTGGACTTTCCTCACCCCCTCGATTGCAAGCATCATTGAGCCCACCTCCGTGCCTTCTCTGAAGCACCTTGTTTGTGGCGGTGAGAAGATGTCTAACGAAGTCATCACCAAATGGGCCAATTCGGTTCACCTCATGAACGGCTACGGACCGACCGAGACCTGCGTCTTTGCTGTGATTGATACTACAGTGGCCACCAACCGTGATCCAGGGCGTATTGGTTACGGTATCCCCAGCACTCTCACTTGGATTGTTGACCCCGACAACCACGATCGATTGACTCCCTTGGGCGCAGTCGGTGAACTTGCACTAGAAGGTGCTCCTTTGGCTAGAGAGTACCTCAAGAATCCCGAGAAAAACGCAGAAGCATTCACCTCGGACCCTGCCTGGATCAAGGACTTCATGCCCGCGGTCCCAGGTCCTCGCCGAATCTACAAGACTGGCGATCTTTGCTACTACAACCCTGATGGTTCTATTCAGTACATCAGCCGGAAGGATCACCAGGTCAAGTTGCATGGTCAGCGAATGGAGCTTGGTGAGATCGAGCATCGCCTTTCTGAGGATGCTCTTACCCGCCACGCTATCGTCGTCCTACCTAAGAGTGGCCCGCTTAAGCAGCGCCTGGTCACTGTCATGTCTCTGAACAGTGTCGCAGCCGATATGAAGCTAATTTCTGACAAGCCCTGCGAGCTTGTTGATGAGAATGAGCTTGAGCATCATGCTTACAACGAGCTAGTCGCGGTCCAGCAGAATCTTGAGAACCAGCTGCCGATTTACATGGTCCCGCAGACTTGGGCTCTGATCAAGAAACTTCCCATGTTGGTTTCTGGAAAGCTCGACAGGAAGAAGATCACTGCCTGGGTGGAGGATATTGATGATGCATCCTACGAGCGCATCATGGCAGATTATGATCGCATCAAGCGTGGCAAGACCGAAGAGAAGCCACAAGAAAGGGAACAGACGAATGGGTCGCTCAATATCGTCCGCGAAATTTTCGCACAAGTATTGAATGTCTCCCTACAGAAGGTCAATGTGGACCGCTCTTTCGTCAGCTTGGGTAAGTATCTCATCATCTCGAAATAGTGATTATACTAACCGGTTTCACAGGCGGCGACAGCATTACTGGAATGGCTGTCATTTCTCATGCTCGCAAACAGGGACTCATTCTGACACTACACGACGTTTTGCAGAGCGGATCGGTGAAACAACTTGCTCAAACTGCCAGGTCCAAGGCACCTGTCTCTCGACGCGAAGAGAAGTCTGGTGAAGGCTTTGCGCTTTCGCCTGTCCAAAGGCTCTACTTCCAGAGCTCAGACTCGTACAAGGGTGATGCTCGTTTCAACCAGAGCATCACTGTTCGCATCACTCGCCGTTGTGAGGGCGAGGTGCTCAAGCGAGCTCTCAAGACTGTTATTAGCCAGCATGCCATGTTCCGCGCACGATTCAGCAAAGTTAGTGGCGGTACCTGGCAACAGAAGACTACAGCGGTAAGCTCACTGCAATACCCTAATCTGACATGCTCTAACTCATTTTCGCAGGAGGTCGATGACTCTTTCCGGTTCCGCGTTCACTCTGTGCAGGATACCCGGGCGATGGTTCCTAAGGTTGCTGAGAGCCAAACTAGCCTAGATCCGGTCAATGGACCTATTCTGGCAGCCGACCTCTTCAACGTTCGCACCGGTGGTCAGGTCTTATTCCTCGTTGCTCACCACCTCTGCATTGATATGGTATCATGGCGCATAGTGCTCCAGGACCTTGAAGAGTTGGTTGTCTCTGGATCTCTTTCACTCGAAAAGGCACTGTCCTTTCAAAGCTGGTGTGCCATGCAGACCGAGAGAGCCAAGACACACGATGCGACTATTGCTCTGCCTTTCACCCCTGAGAAGCCCAACCTGCCTTACTGGGGCATGCAAGGCTCGCGCAATGTGTATGAAGATATCAAGATGGAATCCTTCACGTTGAGCGAGGATACTACCAAGTTTATTCTCGATGGCTGCCACAGTGTCTTCGGGACTGACACTGTTGACATCTTGCTGTCTGCCATCGTTCATTCCTTCAGTCGCACTTTCACCGATCGCAAGGTTCCAACTATTTACAACGAAGGACATGGCAGAGAACCTTGGGAAGCCGACATTGATCTTTCGAGAACAGTTGGCTGGTTCACTACAATGGCGCCTTTGCTGGTCGATTCGGAAGCTCGTAAGTTCTCGATACATCATCTTGCCGATAGAAAGCTAACAAGACAAGGTGCTCTCAACGACATTATCAAGCGTGTCAAGGATACTAGACGCAAGATCGCGGACAATGGACGTCCTTACTTTGCCAAGAGCCTACTCCAGGACCAGGCTGCCGATTTCCCTGTCCCATTGGAAATCCTTTTCAACTACTTGGGTAAAATGCAGCAGCTTGAGCGAGCCGATTCGTTGTTCCACCACCATGGTAGTGTCTTCGATAGCTCAGACTTTGCTGTTGCAGGTGATATGGGCCCCCAGACTGCTCGTTTTGCTCTCTTCGAAGTGTCTGCCATTGTTATCAAGGAACGCCTCAATGTTGCTTTCACCTACAGCAACAGAATGCAACATGAGGGCTCAATTCGCCGCTGGATTCTCCAGTGCAAACAGACTCTCGAGAAGGATATCCTCACACTAAAGGCGGCTACTCCCGAGCCCACTCTCAGCGACTACCCCCTGCTGCCAATCAACTATCATGACCTCCAGATGCTCACCACGAGCACCTTCCGCAAGGCTGGCATTCGGAACAAGGATCATGTGGAGGACATCTACCCCTGCTCTCCCATGCAGGAGGGCCTCTTGCTCAGCCAGCTCCGCGATCCTAATGCTTACATGTTCCATACTGTGTTTGAGATCAAGGATGGCAAATCTGGAAAGGTCGATGCGGAACGAGTCGCTCGCGCGTGGCAAGCCCTCGTCGAGCGTCATCCTGTCCTAAGAACTATTTTCATTGATAGCAACTACACTGGTGGATCTTTCGATCAACTGGTGCTCAAAGACCTTCGAGACAATATCCTTCGCGTGGAATGTCAAGACTCACAGGCCGAGGAGAAGTTGGCTGCTGTATCCCTTCGTGACCTGAACGCGATACGACAAGCGAAGCTTTCTCACCAAATGACCGTCTGCAGAACAAACACCGGACGTGTGATCCTGAAGCTGGAGATTAACCATGCCATTATCGATGGTGGCTCGGTGGATGTACTCCTCCGTGACTTAACTCTCGCCTACGAGAGAAAGATTGCCGAGGGCTCAGGACCTCGCTTCAGCGACTACATCAAGTTCATCAGAACTCAGAGCCAGAGTGATGCTCTCGGTCACTGGAAGCAATACCTCGGGGGAGTTCACCCATGTCACCTCGCTCCCACGGCTGGGTTCGAAGCCAAGAGGGAACTCAAGGGTGTCATGATGAACTTCCAGCGATTCCCCGAGCTGCTTAAATTCTGCGAGCGCAGCTCTGTGACTCTCGCCAACTTGACCCTGTCCGCCTGGGCAATAGTCCTACGACAATTCACTAACTCAGATGACGTTTGTTTTGGATATATTTCTGCCGGTCGCGATGCACCTGTCGATGGCATTCAGGACATGGTTGGCATCTTTATTAACATGCTTTGCTGTCGAGTCCAGTTCTCTGACCAGCAAACACTGACGGATGTGTCCAAGAATGTTCAAGATGATTATATTCGATGCATCCCCCACCAAAGCTGCTCTCTGGCGAGCATCCAGCATGAGCTTGGCTGGCAGGGACAGTCCCTCTTCAATACTACCTTGTCAATTCAAAATCACTCTGTTGCGGGTGGTCCCAAGGACAAGGGATTGTCCTTCGATCTTCAGCACGCACATGATCCCAGCGAGGTGAGCACCAATCCTATAATATTTTGTCTTAGATACTAACCAAATTCAGTATGCGGTTACTGTAAACGTCGAGATTGCCCGGGGCCAGGAGGGTATTCTTTTGAGATACTGGAACGATATTGTGTCTGACGATGAGGCGCAGACTTTGGCTGACACCATCGCCAAAGTATTCACTGGCTTCATTGAATCTCCATCTGCGACCCTGTCGCAGTCCACATTTGCTCCCGAGGCTGAACCCGAGTCAGTGAATTGGGATCACTCCCAAACGACACTGGCTGAAAAGGCAAAGTCTACTGGCGATGCAATTGATAGCACTACTATTCAGAAAATTATTGATGATCGTGTTCATGAGATTATTGGTCGGATGTTGAGAGAAGGAAAACTGTCGGTACCTCCCATTCGTACAGATGGGTTGTCGAGCTTTGGTGGTCGCACTGATACCACAGCCGAATCACGGTATCAGTTAGGCATGGAAGGAGAAGATGATTTGAGTGGTTCTTCGGGAACTTCCCGTTCCAGTGAGGATGGGATATCGGCTGAGGTGGAAAGAAAATTATGGAATCTTTGGAGCACAGCTCTTGGTCTCTCGCCCAACGTGGTGAGACACCAGGACAGTTTCTTCAAGTTGGGTGGTGACAGCATCATCGCTATGAAGATGGTCAGTGCCGCTCGCGAAGAGGGACTGGTCCTTACTGTTGCAGATGTCTTCAACAATCCTGTTTTCGAGGACATGCTGGCAACAGTGCAAGCCGCCAATGTCACTCAGCAAATTCTAAATGTCGATCTGAAGTCTGGTGGCCACAAGGAGGTTGATACTGATTTAATCAACATCACACCAACGACACTGGGGCCCAGCCCCTCTTGTGAGAGCCTCGAGGTTCTCAGGCCATCGTGCGTCGACGATGCCGCGGTGCAAAGCGGTATTTGTCCTAAGATTGGTGTCTTCAAGGGTGGCATCGCCGATGTTCTCCCTGTCACCGACTTCCAGGCGATGTCTCTGACGGCAACTCTGTTCAAGTCCCGATGGATGCTCAACTACTTCTATCTGGAGGGCAATGGTCCTCTGGATCTGAGACGCCTCCGCGAGAGTTGCTTGAAGGTTGTCGCTGCGTTTGATATTTTGCGCACAGTCTTTGTGTGCTTCCATGACCAGTTCTTCCAGGTCGTGCTGCGCAAGATTCGTCCCAGCATTTTTGTTTACGAGACCGATCGCGCTCTAGATGAATTCACCATGACCCTTCAACAGAGAGATCGCGAATATGGCCCCCGCGAAGGCGAGCAGTATGTGCAGTTCTATGTTGTCAAGAAGAAGGGCAGCGACCAGCATCGTATCTTGGTCCGCCTCTCTCACACTCAATACGATGGAGTGTGCCTGCCGAAGATTATGGCTGCCATTAAGCATGGATATGAAGGCACCCCGCTGCCTCCAGTTACTCCCTTCGCCGGCTACTTGCGACAGTTGCCAGGGACAATCACCCCAGACCATTATCGCCACTGGACCAATCTTCTCAAGGGCTCTCGCATGACCCAAGTCGTCCACAGAAAGGGTACCGGCATGTTCCAGAACGTTGGAGCATTCACCGAGGTTCACAGAAAGATTGAGATCTCGCCCACTGCCCTTGGAAATGTGACTATCGCAACTGTCATGCAAGCTGCTTGGGCCCTGGCTCTTGCCAAGCTGTCTGCTCAGTCCGATGTTGTCTTTGGCCTGACCATCAGCGGTCGCAACGCCACAGTGCCCGGTATTGAAAACACTGTTGGCCCCTGCGTCAATGTCATCCCAGTGCGCGTGAAGCTCAGTGATAACTGGACCGGTGTCGACCTCTTCCGCTACCTCCAAGACCAGCAGGTTTCCAATATGCCTTTCGAGTCTCTTGGCTTCCGTGAGATCATCAAGCAATGTACCGACTGGCCTGACTGGACCTACTTCACTACCTCAGTCTTCCACCAGAACGTCGACTACGAGGGAACCCTGGAGCTTGACAACAACAAATACCGTATGGGGGGAGTCGGCGTCAATGACAACCTAGCCGACCTAACCATGGTTTCTCGCCCCTCCGGTGAACGTGGTCTCGATGTCACACTTGGATACTCTGAAAAAGGACCTGTGATGCCATTCTTCGCAACCAAAGTTCTCGACATGGCCTGCGAGATTGCCCAATCCCTCGTCGCAAACCCGAGCGCCTCTCTGCCCTCAGCAAGCATGCTGCGTTCTCTGCCGCCCCAGACAATTGACGACCTGCCCCGACCAACGGATGAGCACTTCCTCAGCGCCCACCTCAAGTCGCGCTCCATCGCAGAGCTGCTTGTGCATTCGGACATTCTCTCTCGCTCGTGGCACCAGGTCCTACCCAATCGCACGACCACGGCTCGCGTCGACCCGGAAGCTGACAAGCCAGCCCACGAATCTGCCTTCCAGTTGGATTCGTCCTTCTTTGATCTTGGTGGTGATGTCTTCAACCTAGGCCAGCTTACCTGGCTTCTTGAGCAAGAGGGCCTCAAGGTCCGTCTTGAGGATCTTATTGAGCACCCCTCCTTCCTGGGCCAAATGGCCGTCCTGGCTTTGCATAACGCTAAGCACCAGGATGATATCCCAACAGAGCTTCTTGCTACCGGTGCCGCATCGCCTGATCCTGTCTCTCGCGTTGAAAAGAAGAAGACATGGGCGAAGGCTATGACCATTGCACGAAGACTGACTGGTCGAAACAACGTGATTTCCAGTCGAACTTGAGATTATACTGCTCGAGCTCGAATCCGCGAAGAAAAATAGAGAGAAAAAAAAAAGAAAATACAGGTGTCGTTCTCACGAGGGAGAAAAGGAAAATTTCCCCAAAAGGGTCCCTGTTCCTCTAGCCATTTCCTATGTCTTTATGTTTCTGCTGCATGTTTTGTGTTTTTGATATCTCCATTATATTGCTGGCTTTGGATTTCTTGGCTTTTAGATTGAGTACATATGGCATGCTCACTATGTTCGCTCTTTACATCTTCCTTTCTGTTTATCCTATCATTTTTGTGCTTGCTGCTTCTTTGTCATACTCAATTACGCGGAAATTTGTATATTGAATATTCTCCTCATAGAATAGTAGTAAAGTTGAACCATCAGACCACGTCCTGATGTAATAGAAATGTAGTTAAAAAAAATGTAAGTCAATTTGACGTGGCTGAAACTCGGAGGTATTATCAATGCAAGGGATAGGCCTGCCACAATCAAAATCCAGACCAGCTATTAGGGACCATGTACAATAAAACGACGGAGAATAATTATCTAGCATAATATTAAACAGAGTCTCGCGACCACGTCCCGCGCGCTCGGATCCGCTTCCCATACCTGTAGAACAGATATGGGATTGGGATGAGAGCAACGGAAATGAAGCCCAACACGCTAGCAGCCCAAGGAACGCCCATATTGTGGAACATGGCGGTTGTGAAGAGCGGAAACCCCCCGGCGAACATAGAGCGCAAGAAAGTGTTCGCAGCGATCGCGCTCGCAGAGTATTTCTGGAACGTATCAATGAGGTAATTGAGAGCTGCCTGGAAGATCGTGAAAAATCCGAAGCCCATCATGACCGCACCGATATTCGGACAGATCCAATGTATATGATTTGGACTTGTCCAACCAAAGACGAACATGCCAGCAGCGAACAGCACAGAGCCAATCATCATGGGCGGGAGCCGAGCTTCGGGGACAGGGCGGTTGTTGTTTGCTTTGTATCGCTTTATGTAGAACCTCTGGTTGGCAAGGTTGACGGTTGCGCCCGTTAGAATGCCGACTAGGTATGCGAGGAATGGTAGTGCGCCGATGACTTGGTTCCAGCCGCGGATTTCCTGGAAGACGATTGGGAAGGCTGCTAGACTAAGGTAGAGGATACCATAGACGAATGATGCATAGAGGGCGACGAGGAAACATATTGGGGTTGCGAGGAGTTGGAAGGGACGGATGAGGTACTTATTCCCTATTTCTTTGAGTGTCACGTCCCACTCTTCGTGACGGGCATGGAGTGCCCAGTTGCCGCTTTCGAAGCGGAGTCTGCGCGCTTTGTAGACTAGTAGAGCTGGTGGGAAGCTCTCGTCGATGAAGAGGAGGTCCATGGTTAGGAAGAACATCATCATGATACCAGTGATCTAGTAGATATTGATTAGCATGGTTTCAGCCTCAGAGCTTGAGATACTCACGTATTCAGTCCAGCGCCATCCTAAATTGCTCTGGATGATGGCACCCCCCGCGATAGGCCCAATGACAGGCCCGCCCACCACGGCCATAGCATAGCCAACAATGGCAGCTCCGCGCTCCTCGGCGGTCCAGATATCACTCAAGACTCCGCCGGTGTTGGTAACAGGGGCCGAGCCAAAAAAGCCCGTAAAGAATCGACTGATCATGATAGTTTGCACGTCTTTCGCGGTGGCAGTCGCGAACGAAAAGATAGCCGCGAGAAAGTATGCCGGTAAAACTGCCGCTTTGCGTCCATAGAGCTCAGACAGAGGTGCCCAGATCAATGGGCCCAATCCCATGCCGAACAAAAGCAATGAGGTGCCAAGTGTAGCAACCTCATTCGAGACACCGAACTCCTCGCTAATCTCTGCCTGACCAGTCGAGTAGCTAACATCGTAGTTAGTTTAATACTCTATAAACTGTGAATCCAAAATGGACTTACATGGAACTCGCCCATGTCGAACCTATTGATAACGATTAGCGTCTCCATAATTCTTTTCCCGATCTTTCCCCGTTCCCGACATACCCATAGTAGTTAATCCATACAACACAGTCGTGATAGCCTTCTTCCTGAAACTCCAGTTCAACGGTCTATAAGGATCATCCGCCCCTTCAAAATCGACAATGACATCGGGACTTGTCTTGGTATTGGTTAATGGATGATTGAATTGCGCCGTCTGGCCGGGGTCTCGACTCCGAACGCGCGAAACTATTGACTGCGTGCGCTGTTGAAAGGCCGAATACCCCGACGCCGCAGTGCTTTGCTTTTCTAATGCGATTCCATCCGTCCCGTCGGCGTTGCGATGCGGCTCGATATCATCGCTAGATATGCTGGTGCGGTAATCATGTTCTATCCGTTCGCCCATTATCGGGTAGTCATTGATTGAATTGTTGCAGGTCCAGTGTTGAAACTGGGAAGGGTGGCAAATGGAATAATATGCGAAACGAGGTACGGGGTATATGAAGTAGAACAAGTTACGGAAAGTCTAGAAATGGAAAAAATAAATCTCGGAGATAAGAGGTGGATATGACGAAAATTCTGGAACGGGCATATGCTAGGAACTGTAAGGCCGAGAGATCTGGGATATGAATTCGTTTTATTCGTTTTCTTCAAGCTTTCGGACCTCCGATGACAGAAGCCGTGTTATCCGACAGCTTGTTGTAGAATCTGGCACATTGCCGATCTCGGTGCCCAATGAGTTCTTTGGGGATAGCTCTCGGTATCACCATTGAACCACCAAGGCATATCATTCCGGTCCAGAGCTGTACTTTGTAGGATATGGGAGCTCGGCCTTGGTGGCGATGGCGCCGAAGTACCGACCGCCACGTGTCGATCTAGGTCTGATGGGGCCAATATTCATATCAAAGCATTGATGTTTCGTGCCTTGTCGATCGGGGGAACTTAATTGTAGGTAAAATGAGGGGTGACGGTTGAGGTTGAGGTTTGTGGTATCTAGCGACCCCAATCCTCGTGTATCACATGACATCAACCGATGTGAAGATGGAAAGAAACAGATGTAAAAAGAGACATAAAAAAACTTCGTTAAACATCTAACCCTAACATCTACTTATACTCCATGTGTATATGCTACACAAGGCATCCAGGGCAGTTATTAACAGGGACGTGCCCAATGATTCAAACCGAAACAATAATTGCCATTAGACTGTCGGATGCATGCTCTCCCATTTGTGGACTGCTTCGAGTGCCGCAGTAACCTTGAGTCCAATACGAGCGTCGAGCTCGTAAGTCTCCCAGCGGGCAGCATAATCAAGGTATTTCTTGCACTCAGCTACCTGTTTTCTCTCGGCCACTGTGCTCGGCACCCCAGATGCCACGGACGCTTCGGCTTCGTCCAACGCCTTGGGGGAAAGAGTAATCCCATGCAGAGTTTGATATGTGGGACGCTCCATCCAGAAGTTGGCGGCCATCTCGAAATTGGCGACTGGGTGGACCCAGTCATCCTTCAGGTGAGCCTTGAACAGAGCTTTGTCGTGGCACAGGACGCGGGTCTGCAGGATCTTTTTCGCCTCATCGTGCCTGCACAGGGATCGCAAAACAGCAGCCCGGAGAAGCTCCAGGATCGCCTTCTCTTCGGTCCCTTCGCGAGACCATGTTTTGTTCTTTTCGCTTTCGCACCATTCCAGCCGGGCCAGGGACTCTTCCAGCTGCTTGTCGGTCATGCGACTGTGTCCGTTCCAGAAGAAGATCATTTCTTCAATGGGATCGACCCCAATCGCATCCACAAATGGAACGTTCCATTCTTTGGCGCGCGCCTCCAATTTGGCAAGCCTGCGAGTCACAAAGATGTCAAATGGCAGTTGTCGGGCCATGAATCGCTTTTTCCCGGCGAATTCGGGTGCCTTCCGCATGTACACGGTGGCCTTTTTGGCATGTTCCTCTGCAAGCTTTGGATCGTGGAGTGATTGTCGGTACAGGGCAACATGGCATGATCCAGCGATGTAGTAATACAGCGAACGAGACCATGAGTTAAGTTCCACGCACTGAAAAGGTTAGCTTGATAGTTCAAAAATCTCGGAAAAGAAAGTCTTACTTCTAGGAATGCTTCAGAGCAGACATCATATCTGTGCAGGAACAGTGCGTTCAAGCTCTTTTCGAACACGCACAATCCCTCGACCTGCTTGAGCGGGCTCTTGTTATCCGTGGACAACATTGCCAGGGCGCTGTCCAGGTTCTTATTAGCGCCCAACATCCGCGATTCTTCAAGCATCCAGAGTCGACTGTTAGGGAACCGAGACCGCATTTCCACCAGCAACGCAGCCAGCCTCTCCTGCGGGTATCCCTCGACGTCGGTCTCGCCGGGAGTTGGGTCGGGCATAATATCACAGTACCGAACAAAGCCATTGTAATATCCTAGCAGTGCCAAAGCAGCCATGGCACCAATAAGGTTGTGGAACTTGCTGGCTTGCCAGAGCATTCTCAGTCCTCGTTGCTTGTCACCGTGGAAGCCAATGATGGAAAGAAGCTTGCTGAATGCTGGTGGAACCATAGAGATCAGCAGAAGCAGAATACCAAAGCAGAAGTTGGCGCCAGAGTGCACAAAAACATCGATTTCGTTTTTGAAGATGTCCGAGTCGGGGTCGTGGTGGATATGCCTTGCAGGTGTGGAAGTGCCCGTTGAGGCACCTGGAGATGTCGCTCCCGGGGAGATTGCCAATCCATTCATTGACGAATTGAGGTCGATTTGGTCTTTTGCGCCTTTTTTCGAGGAAAGACTGGCCGATTCCGACTTCGTGTCTGAGCATGCAACGCTCAAGCGTGTGAGATCGCTCGCAGTAGGCAGGAGAACTTTGTGTATATCCCTCTGTTCCATAAACTTCTCTTCCATCTTCATGATAGCGTCTAGTGCGATATACGCCTTTCTCAGCCGATAGAATGCCTTGATGCTTTCTGTCAAGCTTTCATTCAGTACCCCAACAACCGCGCTCATCAATTGGGCGATTGCTTGGCACAATGCGTATTCGGTACCGGGAGCATAAATATCGGAGTGAAAGGCATTGGGTGCTTGGGCGTTTTGCTGGGACCGGCTTTGGTCGTTGGCCGCACTGGTTTCTGCTTCATACAGGCGCTCGGATGCTGCGGGATTGTCAGAAACAGTGGATTTAGAACATAAAAAAAAGATAGACCTTGTCGCATAATCTCCTGCTCGAAGCCTAATGTCGCCCGGACGAATGCGACCACGCCTTTGCCCAACTATTTCCATCGAAAGTCAGCTTCTTTCCTCATCTGTGCTACGTCATAGCTCATAGTGACAGCGATGATCACCCACATTGTGAAAAGACGAAGTTCCCCCGGACAGACCAGCCTCCGCGCCATCAACATCATCATTGAGAATCAGCGTTGCCGCTAGTTTGGCATTACATTAGTCGGTGCCTAAAAGGCCGGACAATTTCCCATAGGACATACCTGTCAGCGCATCATGCACTGGCTCAGGATACCGCGGTCAGCATGCAATCAAACGACCACTATGGGCTCTCCTAATGTATATCGCACAACTCACAGTCTTTCAACTCAACCCCCGAGTCCACAAACTGGCCCGGCTTCTTGCCGTACAACCAGGACCCGACTCGCAACATGGCGAAAATCGCTGACTTTTGAGTATGTAGAGTACAATTTCAATAGGAACACAATCCACGATTATCTCAAGTCAGGGTCAGGGCGATCCGAGCAAGCCGAAAAGAGAGAGCACCGGATCGGGAAGAATGTCAACGGTGCGATAGCGGCAACTCGATGGACGAGAACATCATATGAGAGAACAAAGGGAAAAATGGAAACACAAAGAAGTGGAGAGGGGAGGAAAAGATGACGGAGGAGGGGAAGGGAAGTAATATAACAATGCGTCTAGGCTGAGGCTCATGGGATTCTTTTCGCCGGTAGCTCCGCAACCTCATCTTTTGTAGTCAATTCGACATCTACTAGATTATTATGAATTATTTTATGATATATCACTCTCTTCTATTGTCTTCTTCAATCTCACTATTCATTTTATATATTTTTTTCATTTAAATCTCAACGCTGCACTGTTTTCCAAGATTGTCTCCCAACTACATCATCGTTATCGCCTTATCGCCGGTCTTACTAAGTAAAACCTCCGACCTCCGACTTCCAAGCTGCCACATCCACGTCCACTTCTCCCATCTACCTTTGATCCTCCCGATCAATCACATCTTTCACAATGTCAAACCCAACTACCCAGAATACCGATGCCACAGAGCAGCCCCCACCACAAGCCAAGCCCCAAGTCCTAGAGGAAGACGACGAGTTCGAGGATTTCCCCGTTGAAGGTATCGGCCAAACACCCAAGTGCTTCCGTCGTGCAACGAAGCTAACTCTACAACACTCAGACTGGCCTCAAGAAGAAGCCGAGCAGACTTCTGGCTCGACAGCAAATGGCGGTAGCGAGCACCTGTGGGAAGAGAGCTGGGATGACGATGATGCGGCGGAGGACTTCTCAAAGCAACTCCAGTGAGTTCACCTTTCCCTACATTTCCTTACACCCTTTACATTATAATCATTTCCCACAAATTCTCTTTCGTCTCCACATCTACACCACCACGCTCGAACCCCAACCCCAACCCCACTTCTCCAAAGCTGTCAGCTTCCCCTCCTTCACCGCACTAACATCCATCACCTCATCCAGGGAAGAATTGAAGAAAGTCGAAGCATCGGCTTAAAGCTAGACGAACCTGGACAAGCGCACCAAAAAGAGATAACCCCCGCGTCAGGTTTCGGGATGGGTTCATTATCGAGTTGGCTGGCCATTTCATCTCGCACACTATACCCCCCCCCCCCTGTCTTTGGAACCAATGGGAGGATTCAGAACAATAATTGCCACATGCATTTGTCGGGAGCTTGTCGGGGAGGAAATGAGACATGGTGCCTTTTGAACTTTTTTTTTACGATTCATTACTCGGAGCGCTGATCTTGCTTTCGGGATTACTATCATGATGTTCTCTTTGATATTTCAATATCAAAGCTTCGGATTCTGCGCAAGCCTAGAATTAGTATTTTGTAGGATGAATGTGAGTATCAGTTGGAGACGCGGGGTGGAGTTGTGAATGGGATGGCACAATTCAATCCATATACATGGCACTGTGGCATTGCTGTCCTATTTATTCATCGTAGGGATTCCCTCTCGTCTATGTACATGAGAATTGACCACGGGAGATCTTTCGATGGCGTGGCTAAAGCTTGGGTTTCGTACCTGAATACAACACTTAGTTATCCAATCTAAGAGCACAATGGAGGTATTTTTTTTATAAAAATTGTAATTAAGGAAATTCATTGGCTGTGTACATTACAGTTTCATAAACATGCGGGACGAAAGGAGAGCCAATATGTAGACTCTTCCCTCGCCATCTATTTTTCATCATTTACTTACTGGACAGAGCAGCAACACCGGGGAGCTCCTTGCCCTCGAGAAGCTCGAGCGAGGCACCGCCACCGGTGGAGACGTGGGAGATCTTGTCCTCGACCTTGTACTTGGCGGCCACGGTAGCGGTATCACCACCGCCAATGATGACGATAGAGCCGGACTGGGCAGCCTTGACAGCGGCATCGAGGGTAGCCTCGGTGGCCTTAGCGAAGGGCTTGAGCTCGAATACACCAGGGGGACCGTTCCAGAGGATGGTCTTGGCCTCACTGATGGTCTTCTCGTAGGACTTGACACTCTCGGGGCCAACATCGAGACCCATGAAGCCGTCGGGGATACCGGTGGCGTCGGTAGCGGAACCAACGGTAGCATCGGCGGAGAACTTATCGGCGGTGACGTAGTCAACGGGGAGAACGATCTCAACGTTGTACTTCTTGGCCTTCTCGACGATGTCGCCGACAATCTTGCTGCCGGCCTCGTCGAAGAGAGAGTTACCGATCTTGACGTTCTCAAGAGTCTTCTTAAAGGTGAAGGCCATTCCACCGGTGATGATGAGGCTGTCAACCTTAGGCAGGAGGTTGTCGATCAGCTGGATCTTGTCGGAGACCTTGGCGCCGCCAAGAATGGCGAGGAAGGGACGGGCAGGGCTCTCAAGAGCCTTGGCGAAGTACTCCAGCTCCTTCTTCACGAGGAAACCGGCGGCCTTCTGGGGGAGGTCCACACCGACCATGGAGCTGTGAGCGCGGTGTGCGGTACCGAAAGCGTCGTCTGAATTGATGTTAGTAAAGAACGATAGGACATCGGGATATAATCGTGGTGTTACGTACTGACGTAAACGTCACCGAGGGCAGTGAGACCCTTGCGGAAGGCATCGACATCGGCCTTGTCGGCCTTGACCTTCTTGCCCTCAGCATCCTTGGAGCTGCCCTCCTCCTCAGCGTGGAAACGGAGGTTCTCAAGAAGAATGACCTGACCATCGGATGCGTTGTTCACGATCTCCTCGGTCTTGGGGCCAACGCAGTCCTCGGTGAAGGTAACGCTCTTGCCGAGAAGCTTCTCAAGTACGGGAACAACGGGCTTCAAGCTGTACTTGGGGTTGACCTTGCCGTCGGGGCGGCCCAGGTGGGACATGAGCACAACGGCCTTGGCACCGTTGTCGATGGCATACTTGATGGTGGGCAAGGCACCGACGATACGCTGGGGGTTGGTAACGTTCTTGTTCTCATCGAGAGGGACATTGAAGTCAACCTGTTCCAGTCAGTTAGGGGTTGCGAGTGAAGCTCAATTGGGAGCTTACCCGGATCAAGACACGCTTGCCCTTGAGGTCGACATCAGTAACGGGGAGCTTGTTGGAGAGAGACATTGTTGGCTAATTGTAATGATAAAAGAAAAGAAGAGGAAAAGAAGGAGAAAGAACTAATCAGGCCACGGTGAGTCGTGATCAGTAAAGAGTGGAGGGGTTAGTTCTGGTGGGGCAGGCCGGTGAAGAGGTCGCATCCGTAGCAACGGGGTACTTACTGATGATGTATTTGTCCGACTAAGGTACTTCCTTAAATTATAATGCAATCATTGTTTTCTAAGTATCTCTAGAAAATCGGTACTTCAATTACCCGTACCAAACTACCCCCGGAGAGCTAATCGGGCTGACGCGGGACTGATGTCAGAGCTCCCGTTGATACGGGGAAGGCCGGGCCATAAAGGTCCTCTTTAGCCTCGGAATCGGGAAATTCTGGGGAGATGGCCTTTACGGATGGAAATGTTCATAGCCGCTACATGCTTGGATGTGTTCCGAATCCAACTAAATCATGTGAAGCTCCAAGGAGGGTTGAAAAGCGGAAAAGCGGAATTTTCCTGAAGCATCCAAGTCAAATCTCAAACATAGTCAACAGCAAAACCTCAAGTTGGTCTTCCTAAATGCGCAAAAACCGGCCTTTTGAAATGCAAACCCTGTCCGTGGGTGACTACCATTACCATTTACATGAAAGCCAGACCGATCAACCGGTACGCCCGAACAATTTGGAAGAAAAGAGTGCAATTTATAGCCCGAATCGTTACATCATGTTCGCTTCAATAGTGTTCTATTAGGCCTCCTCGGCGGCGTTGGTTAGAGAAAGGTATGCGGTCCATGCAATACCAACGGTTGAGACGAATGGCTAGGTTAGGAAGTCAGTGTCCTATCTCAACAAGAGAACCTGAGAAACTCACAATCTGGAACTGAATGGGAATGACACGGAAGTTGAGGACCTGCACGGCCGGCCAGAGCACAAAGTTGGCCTTCAAGGTCGGCAAGTAGACATCACGGAACTTGTTTGTCAGTGCCCTTCTGCCACCACCCTCGGCGATCGTCATATAGGTGAAGAAGCACGCCAGACCTAGATAAATCAGCCCCAGTCCAAGAACATCAGTAGCTATAGGCAAATCATACCAAATGGCGCAAAAATCAACTGGTCAAACGCGACACGCTTGAAAACAGGAGCCGTCGGGTTCATCTTGGTGAGCGGGAACGCTCTGGACAAGAATCCGAACCACTGAAACTGCAACGGCGCCATGAGGAAGCCATAAGACATAAATCTCGTCAGACGCTCAAAATCGAAAGACGGCGACGTAGCCCGAACATATCCCAGTTCCCCTGCAGCAGGGACCTTGTGCTTGTCAAAGTCGGGGATCTCTATCGAAAGGAATTCGTCGCCGTTCGCTTGAGGTCGGCGGGTCCGGAAGGCCGTAATCAGCTGCGCAACAGTATCCGCAACACCACCCAGCACCTATACCATCCATTTTGTCAGCTGTCCGGTCATACTTTGGGTGATCAATGTCGCGATAAGCTTACGGCGTTGGTGACCATCGTCGTGAGCACTATTTATAGCAGTGATGTCAGTCTGTGAATCTCACGCAACCGGCGGCAAGAGGTTTACCTGGCCTTTCAGCATAGTAGGTATTGAATTTCGCCGCAAGGCGAGCTGCTACTGCCATCTCGACGAGGAAAATGATGGTGTGCAATAAAGGCTAGAAGATGACAACAGGGTTAGGCGCTGTGAACGAATTGGGAGGAAACAGAATGCCAGTGTCAGCAAGGGGGAGCTAACATACCAGGCGACCGTAAATGTATCTCTTATTTAGTCCATCCAGGGCTTTCCGCTTCGCAGAGCAGATCATGTTGAAAGATGACGACGGGAGCAGAGTGATAAGCAGGATTTCTGGGAAGGAGCTAGTGCGCCAGTATGACGCAAAGATCAAGGTGGAAAGTACCGACTCCACAGATAAATATGAGCTGTATATTAAGCCCAGCCCCTAAGAGAAAATCGTAGATAAGATGGTATCAAGGCAAGAAGCCTCTCCAAATTCCCTCCAGTGGTCTCCGCCTTTGTGACTAACAAAGTCACCTGGCCAGCTACGACGTTGAATCGATTACCCTGTCATCACCTCCCCACCAATCACATTCGTTGAACTATATATCCACGGATATCTTGCTATATCCACTACAATCTATATTAATATATTGACTTGGTGAATATAAATTATTCTATAAGCACTACATTTCAGTCATATTTCTACCGATTTGAACCGTTATGAATACTTTCCTTGGTCAACACTGCCCCCTGGGGCCCCGGGGGCCAGTCTTGGCATTATCGGTTTCCACCTTCCGAGTGTGGATCATTGTGATCGCTCTTATATACATTCAAACATATAAGGCAATAGTATACATATCTAAGCTAGACGATGAGATACATCACGGTCTCACTGTCTGCGAACAACTTTACCCAGTGTAAAAACTTAACTCTTGAACTACCGATACATATATTGATAGAACCAACACCCTACAATGTAGGGTGTTGGTTAGAGTATGTCACTTATGTACCATCAATAATTTATTTAGCTCGGGTTGGTAAAGCTAGCAGCCCTACAGCCACCCGCAGACTCCTTACGGTAATTATACAAACCCACAGAGGATGAAAAGATCACCGCTACCGATGTAGTTTGATATCACTTACGCCTTTCTCTACATACAAAGTGCACGGTGTTAATCATAGACAAACATCTCGTTTTAGCTCAGGCTATATTTAGTTACTTTCAATCAACGGAATCCGATGTTGTGGTCATTCTCTCTGTTTCCATACAAATTCAACAAACTGGGGTTATCTACAAAGGTGGAAGGGAAGTCCATAGATATGGGCCCTCTATCACATGTATGAATGGATTAAGCAGCTTTTTAATTTACTTCTGGTACCTGGTTAGTATCAATATATTTACAATAATCCTATTCTAGGTGTCACATGCGGTATAGTTCCAACCTGTACTATTTCAACATGATATATATAACACGACCGAACATAGATTAGTAAGTCATTATGGTGAAAAAAGGACCAGTATACCTACTGATATTTAAATAGGTGCTTTGTACCTGTATAGAAGCCATTCAGGGATTACAAAAGATTTCTTAGAGGATTAAAAACACAAATAGGCCATCGGAGCTTGGAATATGTGGGGGAAAATGGACGCATTTGGGAAGCCGACAAACCCATTGGATTGTAACAGTTGTCGGCTACTGAATGCGCGTGGCATGAAAGGCTTCATCTTGTCAACTTATATATTACGTTTCTCTCATGTTGTTCTCATCTTCTCATTTCTATTTTCTTGCCTCAACCCTCTGCATCACCGACCGGTGCCACGACACATAGCAAAACCACCCTTTTAGAAGCAATGAGCCGACCTTCATCTCCGGATTATGGAGCGTTAAATGTCCAATTTGTGCTGGAAGTCGGGATTATCATTCCTTCACTGGCTTGTCATACACAGGTGCCTACATAGCCTGACAGAAATAGATGTGTTCAAGTTTCGTATCGACACACTCTATATCAGATCATGGGATGACCAGATTCAAATTGGTAATGGATGCTCAGCTCGAGGGGCTCGATGTTACAACAGACACGTGCCATCAGTCAGCTGGGCCACAATTTCTACGATCGTCTCTCCATGCAGGATGCTAGCTCTCAGTTTTGAGGTAGATGCGGCAGGTGTTAGCTCCGGGCAAGCTCAGAGCTCAGCGCCCAGGATGATTTATGGGTCTACCGGCCTGTCAACGTCCTGACAGCTGCAGCGGATGCAGAATGGACCATATCCTGCAGACGAACAAATTGTGAATAAGTCTCTGATCAACCCTTTCAAGACTCTTACAATCAAATCAACCTTCCGGGTGTGGCCTATCGATGGACCCTGGCCGCCCAGAACTGACTGGATCTTGTTCCAAGAATGCTAGTCGTTTGATTTCTCAAGGAGCAGGTGCAAAGGTTTGCTGACTCATCGGTGGTCCACTCATGGATAAGACACAAGGATGTGTTGATTCTGTCTCGGGGAGGGTAGCTGGAAGGATCGTCATGTTCCAGTTGGAGCGCATCAGGTCCTTGAAACCCAGGGAGAAAGTTAGCAATGCTTCTCCATATGCACGTGTTTTCTGAGCAGGTATAACTTGTACTAGGTTATCAATGTTTCTTTTACTGATATAAAGCCTACTGGTTCCTTAAATATTTGCCGGTGTGGCAACCATCGATTAGAAGATCTGCAAAAAGAGCATATACGCGGTGCAGATGACCTTAAGACATACCATAAAAGACTACAGAGAAACAATACGTTAAGGAGAGGCCGCTTCAAAAGTAGCTATAGATTTATGTCATATATATGTACAGTTGTTGGACTGCTCTTAAGTAGAGCGCGGCTGATCATCCGCCAAAATGTCCGGAAGATCTCGGATATCAGTCGTTTCGTTCGTGTTCACATCTACAAGCCGGACTGCCTCCAAATGAAGTGGGCCTGTGGCCAGAGGAAGAAGCTTGAGTTCGGTCGAGTGGCAAGTTCCTGGAAGGAGAGGGCTAATAGAAACGTCAGGTTAGAGAGGTAAAGGGAAAGAAACACGGCAGAGAGTACTAACCCCACACGAATATCAGTGCTCAAGCTGATTAATTCCACTTCCTGGCCAGCCACACTCTTTTGTCTCGCATGCACGATATTATCGTCAGTGACCGCTTCGGCCACTTGGTCCTCTTTCCGGCTGGTGATAGATGATGATGAAGGCCGAGCAACATGCCCGCGTGGGTCCACGCGTTTCCGCTTGGGGATGGCGATTAAGGCGAACTTGCGAGGAACATTTGATCGATTGACAATAAAAACTTGCCAAGTGAAGACAGAGCCAACCTGCACACGAACAGGTCCAGAGAAGGATATTGTGATGCCCACGTCTGTGACCGAATATGCTCGTTCTCGTAATGAGCTTCGATGGGAAGGGGTCACGCCCACTTGAGTTGACACCGATAGACTGGTAGGGCGGTTGGTCCTTTGCAGCGCTGGACTGGGCCCCCCATAAGTCGGATTTAGGGCGACTGAGAAATCGACGTTGGTTCTCCACTGCATAGCAATACGTGGCTTGCAGTCGTCATCCACAAGAATCACTACCTCGAGAGATATGTCTAGCATGCTGACCAACGCGGTAGATGATGGATTGGTCTCTGGGCCATACTTTGGTGTGAGTTTATACATGAGGGTCACGTCATCTCGCGGACGGCAAGAAATAGGAAGATTCAGGCCCGGTATGTCTGACAGCGACTCGATCGTTCCCTCGGAGAGCTGAAGATCCGCTTTTTCAAAGGAGACCTCGCAAGCCAGGTAAGGGGTGACCTCAAAGTCAAGACTGGCCACAGTCATTGGTATACCGGTGTAGGAGCTCAGCCGAGAATACCGAATTCTTGCACTTGCGGCGGGCACAACACGAAATGGATGACCATGTTGTTGCTGAATATTGTAAATCGGATCCTCGTTATACGTCGTCGGTATAACCCTCAACAGTCTGGAAGCAGGGAGGAAAGGCTCTTTATGATTGAAAGTCTTGTCAGTGGATAGAGATTGCAGCATGTTGGTCGATGCTGGGACGAGTGAGGGGAGATAGTCATCCTCTGAATCCTCTTGACGCCGACTGTCGGTGGGGTTCAGACTGGCCGAGGCAATGAATAAAAGTGACGGGTGTTGAATTCGAATACGGGGACGTCCTATCAACCAATTAGTGATGCTCAGTTCATGATATCCAGCCCAGGAATTCAGATAACTCACGCAGTATAGTTTCAATGTTCCAAACCAAATATACATGATTTCCACTGCCTTCATCGCCTTCAAACTCATTGAAGACCACTAAGGGATCCTCCTCTCCACCAACAATCCCCGAGAATATTATATCACGAGTTGGTGTGGTATTTTCACCAACTGATTCCGCTGGATCGACGGCAAAGACGTCGAGCTTGACTTCAAGTCGTGGCAGATAGTGTTTCAGGGTCGTTTCTGAGCAATCAGATAGTCTTAAGACGATGCGGACGGGCAGAAATTCATCTAATGGCTATCAATGAGTAAGAGGCTAACCCTGGAGAACCTTTGAAAGTGCATACCAAAGAACAATAGAGACCGTTGAGGGATGGACGAGAGGACAGAGGGGAGATCATCAGCTCCGTCCTCCAGGGCCGAACTCAGGGCGCCCTCAATGTCGAGTGCCGGAGCATGAGGCACAACTGTATCAAGAATAGCATGACGCAAGAATTCGCCTGGGATCTCCAGACCAGGCATTGCGACAACGGATGTCGCAAAGGAGTCAATAGAGTGGCTGTTTGGAGCTCAGGAGATAACCGATAAGTGTTGATACGGTTGACGCGAAACGCCAAAAGCGCATAACCGCGGAGATCATCGATGAAGCTCCGTTTTCACTTCTCTCTCTTAGTATCTTCAACACCGCTCACAATGGATCCAAGTGGCAACCCAGCTTCTGCCCTATGGCAAGAGGCGCGAAATGCCGATGGGCGCGTTTATTATTACAATCTACAGACCAAAGCCACACAATGGACCAAGCCTAAAGAGTTGATGACTCCAGTTGAGGTTTGTAATTGACACTAAAATGTTATGAGCTTAACTAACTTCTTTGCAGCTTGCTCTGGAAAATCAGCCATGGAAGGAACATACTACAGATGCTGGGCGCAAGTACTGGTACCACGCAGAAACCAAGCAGAGCACATGGGAGATGCCTGCAGTCTACAAAGATGCGCTTGCACAGGCGCCCACCCCCCAGGCACCCCCCGCGTAAGTGCCTTCCCGAATTAGCTTCTCTCAATGCTAACCCTATTATA